CCGCACACCCGTTCCATTTAATTGTTGGATTGTCAGCGCCGCACTCCCGCGGGCGCCCGGCAGGGGGCGGGGTTAGAGCTTGGATTTTTCGGGCGGGCGTTCCCCGGGGAGGGAGTAGCGGAGTGGGGGAGGGGTTAGGCAGGGCGCGAGGACGCTGTTCCGTCGGCTTCTGCGCTACATTTCGTCCCGACTCGGCGAAGAGGTCGTGGCTGCCGCATCAGAGCTGACGTGGGAACTACGTGGGGCCGCCGCCGGCGCCGGCGCCGGGTTGCTGGGCGGTGGCGCCGCTCTTGAGCGGCGGGTCCGGCTCGGCGTCTCCACCTCCTCCCGTCCGTAATCAGTGACGAGGTCCGCTACGTAAATCTCATCGCGGCGGGTAAGTTGCGCGTCTGCCCCCCGGACCTAGAGACCTAGGAGCCGGCGACTCACAAGAAGGAGGCGGAGGAAGGAGGCGGAGCGGAGCCTGCTGGCAGAAAGGGTTGGGGCTTCCGCGGGCGGGAAAGGCGGGAGATCTCGGCGGCACCGGGCGCTGGGATTTTCAGGCCGGCCCAGCGCGGAGGAAACCGGTTGCGGCCGATGGGTCCAGCCCGGAGCGGACCCAATATCGGCCTCTGGGGCCGCAGGCTGGCTCTGTGGCGGCGCGCCGACCGCGGTTTCCGGGCCTGGAAGACCTGATCGGCAAGAGCACCGCGGCCTCCGGACGTGGCTCGTCCCCAGCTAGTCGCCGGCGGCCTCCGGGGCTCCCCGCTCCGACCCCGGCGTCCCCGGCCCAGGAAGCGGAGCTCCTCACCCTCCCCAAGGCCGACTGTGCCCGTTTCCCCTTGGCCTCTCACGGAAATGTGCAGCGCGCCAGACCTTATCGCTTACGTCCGCTTAAACTTGACCAGTTGGCTCGCTGTTTGCCTTACATTTAATCAGATAACTCTCTTAAGCGTGAGTGAGAAAACCAATTTAAAAGCCTCTTCTTTGGAATTGGTTAACATTTGAAAAATCTTTCGGAAAAAGCCTGACCGCTCTGATGAATGTGGGCTTCGCTCTTTAAAAAAGAAACAAGAAAAAGTACGTTGGGTTTTCTTTACCACAGTCGACGATCAATAGCACCGTTGACCCAGTTTAAACATAAATTAACGCATTTCTTCTCTGAAACATGGATGTGAGGAACATTGCTGATTGATTTTAGTCCCTAGATACGATAGATCTGAAGATCTGAAGAAATGCTTTTATAATGGCCTGTGAAGAAGGAACAAATCTGAGATGAAATCGCAGTTGTTTTTTTCTTTGGTTCTGAGTTTTGCCTTTTTAGTGTCACCTAACAAGGAGCTCTGGTAGTGTAGTGGTTACGAATCGGGCTGCTAACCTGAAGGTCGGCAGTTCGAAACTACCAGCTGTTCCGCGGGAGAAAGATGAGGCTTTCTGCTCTTGTAAAGATTTGCAGCCTTAGAAACCCTGTACGGTGTCGCTGTGAGTCGGAATCGATATCACAACACGTAACCACCTCTGGTAGCCCAGTGGTAGGAGGAATCCGGCTGCCATCCTCAGGGTCAGTAGTTCAAAACTACCAGCTGTTCCGCCGGAGAAAGATGAGGCTCTCTGCTCCCCTAAAGATACACTTTAGGAAAAAACCCTGTACAGGGTCGCTGTGAGTCGGAACCGACTCCACCACACATAACAGTAACAGCAGCAGCAACAAGGTTCCCCCCCCCACCCCCACAGCCTGCTTTGTAAAGAATTAAACCTCGTTCTTGATCCTTTGATTATGTGAACACCAGGTCCCTAAGAACCAGGAAATTTTCAGAATTGTGCTAAACAAAATGAGCCATCGCTTGGAATTCAGATAAATTTTAACTTAATATGACCAACTTGGAAGTCAGAATAAAAGTGAAAGCGCCAGTTAGGTTTTGAACTGAGCTTATCTACATGACTTTTATAGTTTGTTCCTTTTATGCTTAATTTGTTAGACTGATAGAGTGTAACCACCTTCCCATGAATGCAAATCTAGATACAGTAAGAAAAATTTCAGATTGCATTAATAATTCATGTTCTTTATCTTGCAGCATTGAAAAGCTAAGCTATCAAGAAACCCCGAAATTTTCATATAGTTCAAAGCTAAAATCCAGATGCTTAATGATACACTTGTTTTTTGAATTATGATTTTGTATAGTGAAACTAATGCATTTGCTAATGTTTTGTACTGTTAAGTAGGGTATTGCTAAGTAGAGTGAATAACTAGGTACTAAGATCTTCGTTTTTTACAGTTATTTTTTTTTGTTATCTCTTGGGTTTTTCTCCTAGTCTTAAGCTTCTTTCTGGATGACAAACTTTTTCCTCTTAAGCCATAATCTGTGTACCTTTGAACTTCAAGTGACATAAAAAAATTTTTTTTTCCAAAGGAAAGCAAATTGCAAAAATACGTTTTGACCAATAAGTGCTAAATGCTAATAAAAAACTGAAGTTTAAGGAAGTACTTAATGATCCAAACACAACTTTAAAAACACATTTAAAGGTTTTGATCCTGGATGAGTAAACACTTAAAGTATTGTCATATTAAGTGTTGATAATTACACATACATCTCTGGTGAGTCTGTAAGCAGATCAGTGTTAGTACGTGCTTTCTCCATTTTGTGGTGGTTGGCATAGAATCATTTTGGTGAGTACGAACTTGTAATTACACTGATGTTTTGTGTACATATTTTTGTAAGAGTGTATGAATAAATTTTTCTTTAATGTGTAAACACAGGAGCTTTTTAGTCTTTTTTGATTTTGCACTGTCCCTAAAAGTAATTGAAATTTTCTTCTACTAAAGACTTGAACCGCTGTGGGCTAATGCTTCAGACTGCAAAGTCGTTTGAACTGCAAGGTCAGTGGTTCAAGCTTAACAGCTGCTCCTTGGAAATCCTAACAGGGTCTCTATGGGTCGGGATTGACTCAATGGCACTTAACACAACAACAGACTCTTTAGGTATTGGAGCATACTGTAATTACTCACTAGGTGGATCATGATATAATTAAAATGTGAAATCTTGGTTATTATGATCATTGGGAGTTTTAGATTATTAGCGTACCTAAAGGACCAACTCCTTACCAGTATAGATCTTTTTCTGATCTTGACTGCTCCCCCCCCCCAGTTTATATTCTCTACAAGTATATTGGGTCAGAAAATTGAGCAAGACTTATTATTATTGAAGTGAGTAATCTATTGGAAAGCTCTCAAGTATCCTGCTCCATTTAAATAGATGTCTTTAAATAAGACTGAACAATGCAGACACTTAACAGCTGAACCATTGGTATTTTGATATGCTGTCAACATTGGTAACTAAGGAAATAAGCCTGAAATGTTTTTGATTTCTAATGTTTCTATATTATTAAACTGATGAATTCCATGTATAGAAGTTAACTTTGAAAAGAGTTAGCATACATTGAATGTAGTTTTATTATTAAGACAGGAATTAAAAAATACAGAATTCAGGAAAAATGTAGCTCATCTTTTACGTGTAGGTATAAGTAAACATTTTTCATCATTAAGTTACTAATTTAAAGAACAGAAAAGCCATTTAAAATACCTTTTATTATACAAAACACCTTGAGAGTGGGCAGTGCTTAAAGTAAATACCCACAGGTTTTCTTTTTTGGATGCTCTGGAATATCCAGAAGAGTTTTAGAATGAAGAAGAAAACTTTAGGATAACATTAGTGGGGGTTTGTCTTGACGTCGCTTGTGATGCGATACTGTAAAGCTTAGTGCTGTAGTTCAGTTACAGTGAAGTTTACAAACTGAAAAGGAGGTCTATTTTTGTGTCTCATGACTGTTGGAAGAAATTACTGGCAATATGTATGTGGAACAAATTTTATAAATAGATAAAAAGGATAGAGTAGGAAGCTATGGTATGGGATTTTTGCTTGAAGACTTCAACTCTTCATTGGTGAAGGATTATTATGAAAATGTTACTAGCAGCTCTTTCTCGCATACTCCTATCAGGCCCTTTTGAAGGATCCCAGGTGGCACAAGCTAACACTGTTGCTAACTCAAAGGTTGGTGGTTTGAACCTACCCAGTGGCCCTGAAGAATAAAGGTCTGGCAAACTGAGTCTATGACAATTACAGCCAAGCAAATGCTATGGGAGCAGCTCTCCTATATAACACTATCACCCTGAGTCTGAGATTGGACAACACCAACAGTTCTCTCCAAATGGGAGCCTTTCAGTGCATGCTTTTCTAAACAAGATAATTACATGTGAAAATAAACATCTTAAGTTATTCTAGGAAGCTTTTTTTTCTTTCTTTCTTTAAATTACAATGTACTTAAGAGTTACCTTAACAGAAATGTTAACCACTTTCATTCATAAACTTAAAAGAGTTTCAGTAGTTTTTGTTGATAGCACAAAAACAAGTCTTTTTTGATTAGAAATGTGTTTAACTGGAACTTACATCCTAGCATTGATTATGGTGAAAAGTTCGGCTCTGGAATTGGGACAACTGCATTACACATAAGGACCCTTCTTACTGTATGTGGACAGTTAGAATGCTTTTACTTCTTAAACTATTAGAAGACAAAATTTTCTTAAAATACAGAAAACAAATATGTGTATATATGGGTGTAAAGAATCATTCAAACAAAAATTATTGTTAATTGCCATTGAGCCTGTTCTGACTCAGCCATGCTATACCGGGTTTCAGAGAAGCAGCTGGTAGGTTTGAACAGCTCCTTACCAGGATGAAAGTTAAATTTAATGTATGTTTCTACACTTAAATACCAAAATACCAGTTTTGTTCAAATACACAAGACAGAACCAATCTAGGTAAGTATAAATGCTGAAATTTGATCTTCTGAACTTTAATTATTTCTAGTGTCTGTCATTCTTTTTCAAATTTACTAATCAGTAAACAAGTACAATTGTGTGTAATGTATAGATAAGGGTTTTGAAATATATTTAAAGAACAATGATGAAGCATGCAACTATAAAGAAAAACCCTACAATGATTCCTTTAGTCAAGCAAGTAAAATTCCCCAAATGATTTAAAATTTGCTTCTTCATTTCATCAATTGGGGGCAACAGGGATTTAATGGGTGGAGATGGGCCATGATTATTTGAATTTCATTTTTCATTTCCTCTTTAATAGCTGATTCTGCTGTTCATTGTGAAATAGTCAAAAACAGGCAGGTAGGAAAAGAACTGAAGGTGAATGTACAGGTAGTCATTAAGTGATTCTTAGTAAAGTTTTAAAAAATAACGAACCTAACTCAATAGACTTGGAGTGACCTGGAATAATATATCACATGTTCATCTAATTTTATGTATCATTTATGTTTGAGTTAAAACTTTACAAATGTTTGAAATATATACAAGGATCGTTCCTGGATAGTTTGGTACTTTTACCA